GTATTAGTGCACTGTAGTATAAGTACACTGTATATATTCTGTCAGTACCCTGGATGTGCGTGTTTGTCAGCTGAGATTAAACTCGTCTGCAGTTACTTGAATTTACTGCCAGCAGGAAGGAAGGGCGCGCTCACAAACAAAAAACACGCACGAGAACTGCTTTACTAACACGTGCGCGCGTCTTCCTCACGCGCTGACACTGCCCATCCCCCACTCCCAGGAAGAAAATGTGAAAATTAAACGCGAAAATGAAGCAATAACCAGAGTTAACTGTTATAATACGGTCATGTGTGATCTCTAAGAGCGAGGGCATAATTTATGATGAATATAAAAGTGAAACAAAGCAAAAACACTCACCTAAAGCACCAAATGACACCAGGGAGGGGTGGTGGGGGAGTGCTCCTAATGTGGAATCTCCTCCTCCACCACCGTTGGTTTATACCTCAGTATAGACCTCCAAAAGGCGTTATAACGGTCTCCAGACCCGCTCGGCTGCTTCTTGGGACTCCCAGTGACCGATATGTGCCGTGTTTTCGGGCACAAATGCAGAAATAACCCTGTTAAATTGGAGCTGGATGTACAGTTTGTTCTCTGGTGGAAAAAAAAAAAGAGCCAAACGGTTCCGTAGCAGCCAGAGGCTTCAGACTGAAACACAGAGCTGCTGACCCGCCAGGAGGAAATGAGGCAGGCCGGGGCTCCTCTCTGCAGGAAGCTCACTCCAGTCACAGAAACATCAAAGAGCCTGTCGCAGTATGGGGGGGGGGTCTGAGAAAACAACATTTTGTGTTTATCAGATGTTGGTAGATAATGCTCAGCTGTTTACTGGAGTTTTCTGCACGCTAGTCGGGGAAAATCACAGTATTTAGGATAAACAGTAAATACACAGTAACAAAATGTTCAGTTCAGTGAGTAATTCTTCATAGTTGCTAATGGGGTGGGGCAGGCCTTGAAGTCACATGACCTCAGTAGGTGACCTCACCTGTCCTAAAACTAGCAGGTGGAAGTGAAATGTATTGTCATCATTGGTGATCGTTGTCATTTTCCCAACAGAGCACTTCACTTTCAGACTGCAGGCTTACTCGCGGTTCCTAGAGTTTCCAAAAGCAGAATGGGAGGAAGATCTTTCCGTTACCAGGCTCCTCTCTTGTGGAACCAAATCCCAGTTTCTATCCATAGGGCTGACATATGGGCTTAAGACTTTCCTTTTAGATAAATCCTATAGTTAGGCTTGATTTGTTTTGCTGCCTTAAGCTTAGACTACTGGAGGACAAATTGACCTCATTTCATAAGGGGGGTTTTCCTTTCCCCTGTCGCCTTCATGCTTGCTCAAGATGAGAGTTCTGTGATGGAGTTAAATTCAATGCAGTCTGCTCCTCAGATAAATAGTGTTAACTTATTATCTTATATACGAATGTTTCTGGTCTGAGACGACTTCTGTTGTGAGTTGGCGCTATATAAATAAACTGAAATGAATTGAACTGAATCATTGTATGTTCTCAGACAATGACAGAATTGAACTCTCAAGACTTTCTGTTCTCAAGTTGGCGTCCTTACCACTGCACCACCATAAAGCTGCAGGTGAAAATTAAATTAAGCTATATGGGTCAAAGGTCATGACTTTATCCCAATGATATCAGATTTTTTCATTCAACCTTTATTTAGACAGGTAATTCCCATTGAGCCTTGAGGACTCATTTACAAGAGAGACCTGATTTCAACAAAGAATGATGACAACAATGGACGGTTATAAAAAGGCATACAGATTTTATTTATTTTTTTATACAAATAAGACGTCCAAAAAAGTAATAAAAACAGCTAGATTATAAAGCGAATGTAGAAAACTAACAACAGGAACATGTCTGCATTGGTCCTTGCCAGGATTGCCACATGAGGTGTGTATATCTAAGTTGGAAGTAAGGGCAAGCCAAATAAAAAAAAATAGAAATGCAATGGAATAGCCGCCAATGGCCTCCATCTTGCTAGGTGCTACACCTTTCACTGCATATTGTTTACATGTTGATGCCTATGGAAAGCCATCCGGGCCAAATACTTGTGAATATTCCATGTGACTGACACGTAAACAATGCGTAAAGCATGTGTTGTTTCAGCGTCAAATACGCGTAAAAAGTTCTTGCTTTAAATAGAAGCCACAGGGTTGATGTGTTGTATGTGCTGGGTGATCAATTTAAAAATGTGTATGTATCACCTTGTTTTACCTAAATAAAAATAGTTGATGCACATTGTCCAAACAAAAGACAAGACTATGAGCCTTCCATCAAACGCCCATCCCGTGCCTGTACTCATGAATCAAGCATTAAGCCTAAAAAAGAGAGAACTGAACCTTTAAAGGCTGTCACATTTAGCTAGTATTCACCTTAATTAAATGCAGCTAATAATTACCAATCATGCTAGCCAGACGAGTAAACACTTGACTTTAAGTAATTAAGTACTCTGCTACCACTGTCTATTGAATTGCACTTACCTGTAGATGAACAACTTAAATTTAGCTTGTTTTATTGTTTTGTTTTTTGAATGATTTAGAATGTATTTAGGCCTTCTACTTTATTGTATTTTATAATATATATATTTATATTATATTTGTACATATATAAATACCGGTACATATTTTATACATATTTATTATATATCTTATATTTTATTTTATATGTTATTAGTATGTGGAAATGGATAAATGAGTTCTAATCTAGTTTATGCATTAATTCACTATTTTACCCATAAAAGAGTCTGTTAAATGATGATTATTATATAGGAAATAATGTTGAAATATTGAAAATGTTTTTTTTCAGTTAGCTGGTGTGCATTTCCTGCTTTACAGTAATTATAGCACTCTAATAAAGAGAGCAATTCTCCCTGGTATAATAACACAATGGATAGTCTAGTTTTTCCAAATCAAAACCATGGACACAATAATGCATTCTTTGAAGGTCAGGTTTAGATATGTATTACTTTTCACTGGCCGAGTTGATTTTTTGTTTCTCATATATCTATGGTCTGTTGCCATGCTATCAAGGTCACCACCTAGCACCTACCAAGATGGCGTCACAAAGTATTGCTTCATTAGCAAAGACTGTGCAGTGATTGGCCTTTCCAGCATCTTTATGTTTCAGTGGTACAGGCACATAGATTGTAAATTTAAAAGAACTAGACGTAACATTCTTTCACCATTCATTGTTGGGAACTGAAGCCTTTTTATGGGAGCTGCCATCTTATTTTTTTGGAACCAGAGGTTGTGTATAGTGCTTCATCGGCTGGCCCACACACAGTGATGGTGTCACATGACCTTTCTTAAAACCATGATGAAATAACTAATTAGAGGTGAATGTGATATCCAGCTAGGCCTAAACATGAGCATTTCAAATGGCCAGAAGCATAAATTTGAAGACCCTGACTTAGCTTTATAATCTTTACAACAGGAAACTTGAACGGGATCTGGATCCAACAGCAGCCTCCTTCAGGGCATGTTGGAGGTCATTATGTTGGTTTGTGAGACTGCAGCTGAGATCTACCCTTGAAGAATGTAACATCTGCTGCGCACTGGGCTTGTCTCTGGTCACTGTCCTGGGTACAACATACTGAGCTGATTATGATACCAGTGTTTTACTTAAACACAAACATTTATCAGTCTGAAACCAACCTTCTTTCTGCATGCATTTATTGTACTTTTTTCAAATGTAAACATATGACGGGCAGAAAAAATCAATATACAAATGGTAAACCTTAGGTTAATTGCCACAACAACAATAAAAACAGGTTTGGCTAAATTGCTGAGGCATTCAAATAGTGAGTGTTTGTAGTTTTTGGAATGAGGACTGGACTGGAATTGAACAGGGAATGAAGTTAGCCTTAATAAGTTTGGTGCAACCTATTGAAGTGGGTACTAGTTACAATGTGTCTGGGTTTTTTTTTTTTTTTTTTTTTGGCAAGTTGATAATGTTCTTCTCGTCATAAGCATTTCATTGCATCGATGACCTTGTGTTGATTTTGCATATGAGAAATAAACCTAATCTGAATCTGTATACTGATAGGTTTATTTTTTTCTTCTAAAAGGCAGGGTGACAGATCCTGGTGAGTGGAGGGAGCAATTTTATCCAATTCCAAGTGCAATGGTGGAGCCAGGGGGTGGCCAATGGTGGCCTTGACCACATTAATTTCTGGTCACCCGAATCATTTAATGAAACTAAACTTTTGAACGATTAATCTGCAACTGCTCAAGGGATAGGACTTTGAACCTCTGCAACTCCTACAAGGAAATAGAGAACCACGGCGAACGTTTTGAGACATTTTGGAGCGACTCTCATGAAGGCTCTTCACCAACTAGTCATGAATAGATCTTATTACTGTTTTGCTTTACAATTTGTATTTTTGTTGGCTGTGACTGGGACCCTGTGCACATAGTTTTGTTCCACGTCGTGTACCACATGTGATGTGAATGACAATAAAGAACCTTGACGTTGACCTTGAACAGCCCCAGCCCAATGAGATACTGGCTCAGTAACATCAATGATACATAAATATTCAAAACTTGTGCACATCTGCCTACCCTCACTTCAAACATGTACTCCAGCAGAGTAAATCATAAATATGAGGGGATGCCGAGGTCGATATGCAGTGGCAGATATTTTCAAAAATGGGCTGCACAAACCATGGATGCAAGGTTAATTTTATTATACAAACACTAAATATACTGTACCATACCACCGACTAGTCTCCAACACCTGCAGCCAAGTGAGACGCCGTCTTTAATGTGCGCCCTGCATTTTATTTGAACAGATACAATTATAGAAACATACGTAGGCCGTCAACAGTGTGATCCAGAAAACAAGGCCATTTGACTTCCAGCTACACGAGGTTTCCTTTTCTGATCTATCTGCCTCGATGCTTAAATGGAATCGTTCATTCATCTCCACAAAAGCAGAGAGTGTGAGAGACAGGAGGGGAGAGAGTGTGAGAGACAGGAGGGGAGAGATGGGGGGTGGGTGGGTGGGGGGGGGGGGCTTATTGTAAACTGTAAGGTGTGCAGCAACTGGGACAGATTGTGTCTGCGGAAACGACTGCAGGATCCCACCCATCCCCCACAAACCACATACACACACGCGCACAAACTCTACAGCTAATTTTCGCCTGGCCGGTCACTGCACTGCAATAGATAGATTCCATCCCACCCCCTATCTTCTGCTCAGTCATTCAGACCTGAGAGAGTCAATAACAAGCTGACATCATCATTGGTTTTGTAGGATACAGTGTTGCCTTTATTCTAGCAGCCATATGTGTGTGCGCGCGTGCGCGTGAGCAGCATATTCTGAGTTACTGATGAGGCTGGAGACTAAGGAACAGACTGCAGGTCAGCAGGTAGAGCCAGGAACAAAGATATTGTTATCATGTCAGAAGAGGAAGGAAGAGCTTTCTGTGTGGCCTAAAAGAAACCAAAACCATTTGGCACATACTTGGAGGAACGGTGCCTTGAAAACGTCTTCACACCCCTTGAACCTTTACACAGTTTGTTCCATTGCAACCACAAATTTAAAGTGTTTTACTGGGATTTTATGTGTTAAAGCAATGCAAAGAAGAGCAAGACATGGCCGTCCACCTTGACTGGAAACAGCTGCATTGACTGAAGCAG